CCCCACCCCCTCTAGGCGGTCCCCATGCGGCGCACCATCTCGCGATTCGTCGACAGCCCCGCTGACTGACACTATGCAAACATCCATCACGAGCGCCACGGCTCGAATAATGAAAGTGCATCTCTGAAAGTCTTGAACATGGGGGGCCTCAGGACGAAGGCAGATCCTTCCAATTTCTCTACATCTCTGTGTGCCCATGTCAGAAAATTCGCGGGGGAGGTGCGTAGCCTTCCGGCACCGGGCCGTAGTCCCCCTCTCTCTCTCTCGAGGCAGCCCATGCTTTCCAGCTTTCATGGCTACAAGTAGTTGTTCAATTTGCCGCCTGCAGAACAAAAGTGTAGGCTCGCGAGATGTCAGGAAGCTTGCTGCTGTCCAGTTATCAGATGATCACGACTTCGTCATGACACGTCCCACAGAGCGGTGCGGCTAACGTTGATGCAAAAGAATGCCCTGCAGGAGACAGAACTTGGGGAGCCAACCCCGACTTCCAAGGGCAGCACGGTAGGCCTGGGATGGGACGGGCAAGTCCGGCAAGTCTCTCACATGCTGGTTTCATGAAGGCAAAGCGAGGAACACCAAGTCTCCAGCCCGGACCCCAACTTTTCGGTGCAGAGAATTTGCAAATTGTCTGGCGCGACGGAGGCTGCTGGTTCAGCCTCGGCATCTGCGGACTCTCCGATGAACGGCTCTGGTGCTTTGGATGCCAGCTCGAGCCAGGTCAGTGCCTCCTGCAATGAGATGAGCATTGGCATGGACTACAGCGTAGAGCTCTCCACGGAATTGGACGAGAAGTGCGATTTCGTCGAGGTCGTGAGACCTGTCGCCAAGCGAGGTTTGGCAGGTTTGGGAGTTGCAGGCACCGTCGGCACCATTGAGGAGGCTGCTGAGGAAGCGGAGGAGCCTCCAAGAAGCAGCGAGAAGTCGGAGACGTCGGGGCAGCCCAAAGAGCAAGTCCCACTTTCTCCGCTCGAATCGGCACCGGATGCGTTGGACGCCCTGATGCCCAAAGGTGAGGCAAAGAAGCCCGATGCATTGGATTCCTTGATGTCCAAACCTGGCCCGAGCCCGGGCCCAGCTCCTGTGTTGGTCCCATCGCCGAAGGCGAAGGAGGCCAAATCCGAGAAGGAGGACGACGAATATGCAGATGCTTCGTTTGATGGGAGCATGTCTGTGCCGGAATCCATTAACGAAGAGGCCAGTGGCAGCGATGCCTGGGGCAGTGAGGAGGATGTGTGAATCCTTTTCATTCTTCGATGTGAAGCGTAGATCGTCCGACATCGCCTCGAACTTGAATTCGAAATGCTTGACGCTTGCATGTCAATGTGCATGTCGGAGAAAGTCCAAGATCCGTAGCTTGGTCCCACCCAGCTTGGCCATGCTCGCTTCCACCGAACGGCAGTGCACACTCCAGTGGCCGACAGAGCATGCGTCTTGGCGTCCTTCATGGGGGCCTGCCGCCTTGACAGCTGGCCAAGCTGTGAGAACATGACAAACCTCATCCCTCACAACCCTAAACCCAGTGACCACTTCCATCGGATCTTGTGTGCGAGTGCAGCATCCTTCTGAAGTTGAGCTGCAGCAGTCATTTGCCTAGTCGCATGGTGTTCGCCTCAGACCTGTCGAATCCTGACAAACCCTGATGGCCATGGCGCTGGGAAGCCGTGCCTGGATGAAGAGAGCACTTCTGCGAGGCTTGGGAGCTCGGATCCGAGACCTCGCACGCATTCGGCGCGCCTAGGGCCTATGTGAAAAAAACCCAAGCTGCAGCAGGTCTCTCAGCTCGAGCCCTGAGCTCTGAGCCCTCGCCTTCCCCGGCGACGGGGCTCAGAAGGGGGCAGGAGGGAACCCGTAACTTCCGATCCCCTGCGATCTGCTCCGAGGCCCCCGCCGCGTCTGGCGCCAAGGCCCCTCTTCGACTCTTGGGGCGACTGCCCAGAGAGGGCAATTCTGTGCCACTTACACCTTGAAATCATTTCCCTCAGGGGTATTGGCACGGTCTGGGCCTCTCTTTTTCAGTGCACTTGGTCGGCCAGGTCCTTGGGGCAGCGGCAGGCGCCGTGTGCTCCCCTCAGCTTCGCCTTTCTGAGGTAGCAGAACAGTGCTCTTTTAGAATTCTTATCGCAATCCGTTTAGGAACCTTTGGTGTGTCCGAACAGTAGCCCGGTAACCCTCTCAATCAGAGCGTGGATTTCTCAATGACGCAGCGTGGTTATTATTCCAGCAGTTTCGACGTGACAGATTCGCTGTCGATGTGTTAGTCAATTTGCTACGTTTCTCACCTGAAATGAGACTTGCGGCTCACCTCCACCCTGAAACAATGGGAAATCCGGCCCGTCAATTCTTAAAGTTGAAAGGTCAGGCTGACTTTTGTCTCGCTACCGCTTTGCACGCTCTTAACATGAGACGAAACCGTGTGACGCTATGTTCTCCCAATAGGAACAGGCTCGAAGGGGCTGAGTTTGGCACACCCTCGGAAGTCCAGCTTCAGGGTTTCTCTTTTTCGGGTTTAGGGTGTTGGGCTTTCAGTCAATTTCCTTGGATTTTAGCGTCTTGGGGACTTCGGGGTGGGCGTCAACCGGGCTGGGGTTGACGGCTTCGTACAATGAGGTGTTCTTGTTGCTGCTGCTGCGGCGGTGGTGATGTTGGTGGTGAGGACACATGCACGGCACTTCGCTAAAGAACGGCAAGAACATAACTTGTAAGCAGTTCGTGCTGTCAAAATCTTTGCTCCTCGTTAGCTTATCTGAGGTGATCGCTCGATATGGTGGCTCTATATCTATGTGATGAAGCAATACCGCTTGTGCGAGTAAACCGTGCCTGCATGTAAGACCACCACGCAAAAGTTCACAAATTAGCCGCTTCTGGTCGAGGCAAACGGGGGTTTGTTGAAGAGTTTCTGCGTGGTTTCTGTTGTTACACGGAGTGAGAGCGGATGTGAATGCAGAAACGGCACCAGGTTTAAGAATGCCAAGAGCAGGGTCCATCAACGAAACAGCCTTCTGCTGCTTGCGTGGCGTCACAAGGGTGTAGTTCTAAACTCTAAACCGTAAACGCACATTGCAGCGGTTTGAGTCGTCGCATCTTGCAGAGGGACTCGGCCTGGTAAGATTGCCCATCTCCGTAAGCAAAATGCATAGTGCTGTGCCTGCGGCACCGCGAAGAGGATCTTCATCACTGCGAAGGAAACAGGACCTCTTCCGCCATGGTTCATCAGCACCGGACGCCCTTCTTCGATTGCCTCTCCTCTTTTGTCAGCTTGAGCTGAGGCTGCTGGTCATGTTCCATGCGGTTCTTGTGGAAGCCTCGGCTGCCGTGACCGATGCCTTGAGAGAGCTGCCCCGCACCCGCAGGTTACTCAGCGGGAGCAGCAGGATGCCTCTTAACTTAGAGGGAGTAGTAGCAGATAGCAGCCTCCGGGAATTTTTTGACATGTCGTCTGAGATCTTGGTGAGCAGGATCGGATGTACCGCGAGAAGATCCAGTCTCTCCAAGAGGAGGCCGGGCCCCGGGGGCTCCCCCCCCCCCCCCGAAGCGCC